CCTCCCCAGGCCTCAATTTCCTCATGTGTAGACTAAAAAGAAAGAACCAGATGATACTCCAGGGATAACTTTTCTCCAAAGATTTTTGATTCTATGACAATTCTGAGAAGCACACTTATTTTATGCTCTGCAGAAACATACTGGGCCATCTGCCCTGCATCATTGGTGAGAGCCCACTCTTGAAGAAATACATTTCACTTGGTCTATTAGAAGAGTTTTAGAAACTAGGAACAGGCCTAAGAGTGTGATCAGATGCCTGGGTGATGGGGCAGGAGTACATAAGGGTGAGCACATGAGAATGGGTCTCTAACCCTGCCTGTGAGCAGCACTGCTGTGTACATTGATTCCTATTGATTAGGCTGATCTTGCTGCTGCCGTGATGTGGTCACCGTGATGAACGCAATCAGCCCAGCAGGTAACTGCACGGGGATTCTCTCTACCACTCACATCTGACCCCAGTCCTAATGCTTGATGCTCTCTCTATCCCCAGGCCCAAGGACCCTCTTGAGGTGCTCTTGCAGAATAAGAGATTGTCATCTTCAAGAACGCAACTATGGAACCTGCACCTCCAGTGAGATCCACTACAAATTCTGCTGCCTCTGAGCTTGTGAAACAGAAGAAAGTAAGTTCACATAACTAGCTTCCAGACCTAGAAGATAACTTTCATTATGACTGTACTTGGTCCCCAGCTTCCTTTCCTCATCTCTCATAAAGTACTTGTAGCAAGTTTTGCATTTGCACCACTTTAATGTTTGATATGTGTCTTAGTCAAGACTGTGGGATGCAAGTATTGGAGCCCTAAATTCTATATGTTAAACAAAAGCCAGTTCCAATTCTAGGAAGATTGGAGATGAACAAAGGTTTCAGACACACATTGCTAGGAAAGCTCTAATGATGCTGCTCATCTCCCCATCTACTGCTCTGCCTTTTCACTCTGCCTCATTTTGATTGGGTTCATGCAAAGATAATGCTTATGTGTTCCATAAACCATCATTGTCAGCTTCAAGCATATACAGCCATAACATTGCTACTCCTCAGGAAAAGCCATCATGTTCTTTCCAGAAGTATTTGAGTTTCCCTGAGCAGTTCTGGATCGTACATCTGCTTTTTAGACCTGATGTAGTATCAGCTCCACGGGAAAAAACAATTCAATTAAAGTGGAATTGGCTGTTACAAAGACGTGATGAGTAGAACAGAAAGCACAGGGGCACCCCGCTGGGATGTCCTCATTAAGAGTGTTTTCCAGCCATATCTACTAAAATCTAGATTTCATACACATAAAGTTGTCTGCACACATAGAAAACGCACACACACAATTCACTGTCCTGGGTGACAGGCACTCTCTTGGGTTACGTTAAAGCTGCAGAAAATCTGGTTCTGCCTGGAAAATGCTGCTTCTAAGACATCAGGAAAAGTGAAGAGAGGGACAAGAGTTCTCCAAGTAACCTGAATCCCTGCTGGTGCTGCAGGGCGCTGAGGTTCTAATTCCCAAAACATCCGGCACATCAGTGAGTGAGCAAGAAACCAGGTCTGGGGAAAGGGAATGAACCACGAGCGCCCTCTGAGATGCGCAGAGTATTTGCCGGGAAGGCCACAGCGCCCCCTGCTGTCCTGCCTCCAACTGCAGCCTCCCCACCAGGCACAGCACATGTGGGGTTTGTACCTTCCTGAGCCTGTCTTCCGCCTCCCCTCCAAGAGGACAGGGTACCTGCCTAACCCTGGTGTCCCTGAAAGCCAGGCTGGCATCTTGCTGGGGTGAGATGTGACCCTTCCTCCTGTCCTCCCTTTCGCTCCCCTGATTCCCACAGACCCTTGAACCGTTGTCCAATGTGTCCTGCAAATGTCCTTTCAGGACATGACTCACCCAGCCCAGAGAGGGAGTCCAGTGTGAGTCCCTCATATTTACTCTGGATGGCGTAGCTGCAGTCAGTGATTTCAAAACACATGTTTGGGAAAAAAAAGAAAACTATATTCAAGTCACGCATACTCTTAGCGGTGGTCACTGTTAAAATGCCCCAAGGAGTTTGAGTGGGACAGAAAAATTACAGGCTTCAAAGAAAGGAAGGTGTCTCAAGTGGGTTGTTCACCATTTCTGACTAAATCATCTCATGGCCCAGACACTGCCGTGACCACCAACACTAACAACAAATGCCCAGAGCCCAGGAGAAGAATGCAGGTGCTTTCCACGTCCACCCCATGCAGATTCTGAGCAGATCTTGGCCCCAGACTGAGGCTCTGCCTATCTGAAGAGGCAGCTCAGGGTCCAGGCACCCCTCTGAGACACTGCACGGCTGGGGAACTCAATATAGGCCCCAGGGAAGATACAGTAGGTCTGTGTGTGACAGAGAAATGGTCTGAGCTCTTCCTTTTGTGGAGACAGTGACGGAAACATATTGGGATTCACGGTTTGAAGAGCAGGATCCTTCCTTGGTTTCTAATAACTGCCACTGATTCAAAATCATGAAGTCATAAGTTACTTTCCATATTGTTCCAAACTGTCATGGGGGCCGAGCTGACTCCATCTCGGGGCATCTGCACTGCACCCAGAAGGGCACCAGCTGGTTGCCCAGACCTGGAATCTCGGCTAAAATTTCACCTTGTCACTGAAGTCTTTCTCAATTTCTCAATTTTAAATTACAACAAGTTCCCCTAGTGGCCCCCATCCCTCTTGTTCTCGTTATTGCTAACTGCGGAATTGTAATCATCTCACCTTCTGTACATTTCACTTAATATCTGTAACATTTCTCTCCCTACAATAGAAGGCGAGCGGCATGTTTTGCTCATCGTTATACCGCAGTGCATAGTTAGCTGTCTAACACATAGTAAGGGATCGACAAATTCATTATGGATAAATTAATTATAACCAATACCATGTAATTATATAGAATTGTATTATTATCACTAAACCGTATAGGAAAAAACTGAAACCTACTGAGGTAAGGCAGTCCACGTGTCTAGTGCCTGTGATAGCAAACCTTGAAGAAACAAATTAAAAACACTGAAGTCTGAAATGTAGAAAAATATCCTGGGTAAAATGTGGCTTCATGAAGCATCAGGACTTCAGGAGAAAGGCAGAGATCATTTTGTCTTGGAGTGGCAATAAAGGATTTCATGGTGAAATACGAAGATATTGAAAATGTGAATAGATTAGAAGGGGCAGAGCAGCATATGCAGTGGAGAGAATGGCATCTTGGCCCTCAAACAAAAGCGGCAGCCCCCAACTTTTGGCACTGGGGGCTGTGGCCACTTTAGAGGGTACCCTAGGCCACTGGTGCCTCTCACCAGACATCCTGCCAAGCAAGGGATGCTCAAGTGCAGATGCCATGCCCTGGTTAACACAGGCTGTAGCCGGCACTCCCTTTTTCCTGGGCCATCACCCTTTCAGCACATTGACTTCACTGGGTCCCTCGTTTGAGGCCAGCACCTTCTGCTGTGCAGAAGCAGACACACAACCCCGCACTTCCATTGACTCTTTCAACCCAAGACGCTTGGTGTAGCAGGTACTCTCCTGCTGTGACATTTGTTCTATGAAATTTCCCTCTCGGAAACCTCCCAACATCATTGATCAAGATCTAGGCTCCCACTTCAAGGCAGCAGTGGTGACATAGGAATGGGCACCATGGCATGAGGGTTTAAGGGACTCTCACTGGGCCCATTTCCCCCAAGCCGCCAGCCTCCTCAAGCAGCACAGTGGCCTCCTAATTATTGAAGTTGTGGCATGGGCTATGAAACCCCAAGGGGATCAAGTTCCTTCTGAGAGTCCTAACTTTCTTAACTCTCTACCCTGTGGCCACCAGTGCCTCATCACAATTAGGCCAGGCCCACCATGGTGAGCACTTTGGTAATCACAGAAGAGTCAGGTTATTTTTCCCTTAGAGATAGTATCATTCACATTTGCTCCAATAATGAGAACTCCTCGTACTGTGGTAAGAGGTCCATCGTCTCAACATCAAACATTTACTGGACAACAGATTGTGGATGGATAGTAAGCTATGATCCGCTAAGGACTGATGGCCCAGGCCCACTGGCACCCAGCAGGGCCACAGTGCTTCAGCAACACCACACCTCCCATCTTGATGTGCAGCTTCCAGCAGAAGCTCCAGTTCTTACTACTTTGAAAGGTAGCTAATGTCTCCCACTCACCCCTCCCTGGAGGGAGTAGGGATTATTGCTCCAAGACCCAGAAAGGGCACAGACTGAGTCACTAAACAAAGAGAAGCCTTCAGACTAGTGGGCATAGTCTACATTAGCTGATGATCACATGGAAGTATCATTCCCAAGTGTAGCCTGTGTTGATGGTGGAGAAAGACTCTGAAGAAATGCTGGTGAAAGCTAACCCCATAATCGATGTCAATATCGGAGCCCTGAGTGATAAGATGCCAGTGCTCTTTATGGTCGATTGTTTGGTATGTTATGTACCCATGGCTTGTGGAGCTACTGTCAGACTCAGGATCCGAAGCCCAAAAGTTGCTAGAACAGGACTGCCCTGGTCAGAACTTGTACCCCAGGCTGGAAAGGTGGGAAGTGCCGGAATCCCATGCTAGAGGGGCTGTGCCTCAAATGCCACCTGACCTCCGTCCAAGGCAGGCAACTCAATCCTTAGATATTGAATGGGTCCAATGGCATAAAGCTTAAACACCAGCAGCCTTCATAATCACAAATAACATTTTAAGACCGGCAGGTGGCTCATGCCTGTACTCCCAGCACTTTGGGAGGCTAAGGCGGGCAGACCACCTGAGGTCAGGAGTTCAAGACGAGCCTGACCAACATGGAGAAACCCAATCTCTACTAAAAATACAAAATTAGCTGGGAATGGTGGTGCATGCTTGTAATCTCAGCTACTCAGGATGCTGAAACAGGAGAATCACTTGAACCCGGGAGGCAGAGATTGCGATGAGCCGAGATCGCACCATTGTACTCCAGCCTGGGCAACAAGAGTGAAACTCCGTCTAAAAGAAAAAAAAAAAAAAGACCAGCAGGTGGCCCTCCCAATGCCAGGTGTGAATTCAAACTAGCTAACAACACCACAGCACAGCACAAACCCAGACTGCAGCTTGCACGTTGGAGCCCCACGTGCAGAGACAGCTTCCAAAATCATCACAGGCTCAAGGATATGTACATGCTCTGATGTATAAGAGTTGTGGACGGAAACGTCCTACACCACTAAGGAAAACACGGCTCAACCTTCTCTGAATGCTTCCCTGAAGACCCACAGGGCTAACAGCCTGTGCAACAGCAGCAGTAAAGCAAATGCCCAGACCCCCACTTCCCTTCGTGGGTGGCCACCTGGGAAGGCCACCCCCATGGCAATGGCCATGGCTTCAGATGACAGCGCCCCTGCCCAAGGAGTTGTCAAGGGAGGCAATGGCCTTGCTGGAATTGGAGACACCAAAGAAACTCGCCTTGACTGTGGGATCACCAGCAAAGCAACCTCTCCTTACTACTATAGGATACTCCTTACTCCTTACTGCTACACTCCCTACCCCAGCACATGACGCTGGTGTATGACACATACCCCGACCCTTGCCATACCACTTCCTTAGCTCAGGCTTTGTTGAGTACTCTGCAGATGACCCAATACAATGGTATTTTGTAAGATCACCATTTGTCTTCAGAGTAACCCCATTAGCTATATCTCCAACAGCAAGGAAACCAAAGGAACTAGGTCAGATCGTGGAGCTGCCCTACAAGTTAGCCAAAAACTATGGGCTTCTGAGATGTGTGTGTTAACAACACCACACCCAAATCTAACCAGCTCTCCCAATAATAGTTCTCTCATATGTTACTGAGAAAATGCCTGTGCATTTGAGTGTTCTGTGTGCAGGAGGCTGGTCCAGGTTTGACTTCTGCAGGTCACTGGATGTTTCCACAACCATGGGACCTTCCCCACATACACGCCCACCCCTTCTCATTTTCTGTCTATACCCACATCCACTGGGCCCTCACAGGGCACCTACTAATGCCCAAAACCTAAAACCATCTCCTAGTCCCAGTTCCCCAAAGAGCCCTAATTTGTTCCTCTGCTGGGATGAAATCAGAGCTACTTCCTCAAATGGTGAAATTCCTGGGCCTGCTAGAGATCAGGAACTCACTACTTCCTCAGAGTGACAGCGACCGCACTGCTCTGGAACAGCAATCATCCCTAACAAGACCTGAGACACCTCATCCCACCTTAAGATTACTGAAAACACTTTCACTCTTACTCCTAGACAATTATTTAGCCTCAAAGTATCTAATTGCCAAGCAGGAGACAACTATCCCCTCTAGGGCACCCCGTGCTTCCTGTACTTGCTTAACTCAGGAGAATCCAGCAACACCTGACCTGCTTAGCAAGACAAGCCCAGGTGGTATTCAGTCTCACCCAGGTGTTCACCAACATCTCGGCTTGGCTGAATGGCTTTGATGTGTATTGTAGACCCCAGGGCCTGCACAGGCTGATTGAAAACAAAATCCCAAACCCTCCTCAGTGTGAAGGTTAGCACTTTTTTCCTAGTCTCCTTACAGAGTGTATACTACAGTACACAAGCTGTCCTTTCCTGGTGGCTTTAAATATTCCCTCGGTCCAGGTAGTTCAGCCTCAGCCACCAGCATAGGCACTGTGGGCTCAATTGTCTTAGGAGTCATGGAGAATCCAAAGTTGGTTGCTACTTGGACCTGGCCAGGGCTGATGAAGGTAAATGAGAGGTCCTTCTGTGGATGCCTGTTTGAACCCAAGCTTCACACCAAATTTCTCAACTGTCCTTGTCACCAGAGTTATTTAATGTACCCAACAGAAAATAACCCTGGAAATTAGGACACCTGAGCCCCAAAGACCTATAAACAGGGGAAGTCTTCTCTGGGATGTGCACAGCTGCTCTTGCTGCATAAGACCCGGAACACAGGACTGCTGTCTGCCCTCTCTGCTCGCCCTGCCTAGCTTGAGGATCTGTAAGTAACACAAAATTTAAACTTTCACATTGAGGTTTCAACATTGAACCTGTGCCCCCAATCTGAACTGTGACTCCCGGGCCACCCCAGAGGGACCCAGCGGGTGAATCCCCTGCTGTGAACATCTGTCTGAATCTCTGGTGGCTGCTGGGGGCATTGGCTACCCAGCTAAGTTAACAGAGAAACTCAAGCAGTTTCCTTCTAAACACACGTGTCCTACTTGGTATGTCCAATAAAGATGATCATAGCTCTTTAGAACATTCTTTTGAGAGAAGTCTATTCAGGTCATTGGTCTGTTTTCCAATCAGGGTAATTTTTATTTATTTTATTTTTTTTTTTTTGCTATTGAGTTGTTTGACTTCCTTATGTATTCAGATATTTACCCTTTCTATCATGTAGCGTTTGCAAATATTTTCTCTCATTTTCTGGATTGCCTTTTCACTCAGGTGATTGTTTCTTTTGCTATGCAGACGCATTAGCATTCAATGCATCTCCACTTGTCTCTTTTCCCCCTTGTTGCCTGTGCCTTTGGTGTCATAGCCAAGAAATCATTACCCACAGCAACACCAAAGCTTTATCTTCATCTGTTCCTCTCATCATTTTATGGTTTCAGGTCTATGCTTAGGTCTTCTAATCATTCTGACTTGATTTTTCTACATGATATAAGATAAAGGTCCAAATTTATACATATATCAACTCATAAGGTAGTATACATTACACATATATAATTTTTGTCACTCACACCTAAATAGAGATGGAAATAATACACATTTTTAGCCTTAGACGACTGTTTATATCACTGAGCTTGTTTTACCTGTAGCCTGGTGAGGTCATTGTCCTCTCTACCCTGGCCCCTACAGGAGACTCCTCACCCCATAACCTCAAAAACCCCTTCATGAGGGTGATAATGACTTCAAAGCCTGCAATGAAAAACCACTGAGTCCAGGTCTAGACTTCCAGAGAAGAGTAGAGCCCATCTTCACAAAGTAAGAGGCATTTGTTCCCTGAATTCATTGAATGAAAGCACTCTTTCTTTTCATAGTGTAAGAGAAAATATTTAGGCAGCTGAAAGCAGGAAAACATGGCAGGGTCCTCAACACCATCATCAACACCAACCTAGCACAGACACTCAACATAGAGATGCATGCTAGAACGAAAGCTGGGAGAGCAGAGAAGGAAAGGAGGGACATTGAGGCCAATGGATACCCACACCCTCTCCAAAGAAATGTCCACCTCCTCTGACTGAGAAGGTTCAAGAAGGTTTCTTGTCTCTGAGCGTTCTCCCAGCTATAACTCTAGGTAGGCTCCTCCCTCCCCACACATCTGCTCCTGCTCTCCCTCCTCCAGGTGACCCCAGCCATGAGGACCCTTGCTCTCCTTGCTGCCATTCTCCTGGTGGCCCTGCAGGCTCAGGCGGAGTCACTCCAGGCAAGAGCTGCAGCCCAGGAGCAGCCTAGAGCAGATGATCAGGAAGTGGTTGACTCCTTTGCATGGGACAAAAGTGCCACTCTTCAGGTTTCAGGTGAGAGAAGCCAGTATGCAGAGCTGCAGAGTCTAGAGGGACAGATGGGAGATAGAGTCTGCAATGGAGTCTCAATGGCCCATGTCACTTAGGTGACTTCACTTAGCATCTCTGAGCCTTGATTTTCTCATCTGTAAACTGAGTAGAGAGTCAAATAAATCTAAGAGATTTTCTTCTCCCAAAACTTCATTCCAAGATATGTCTGTGAAATTCACTATGTTTAAAATACAGAGAGACATACTAACTAGTTCGTTCTGGATATAAACAAGTAGACTTAACTATTGGGAGAATATTTTACTCTGTCTATAGAGAATCTTTTAAAGACTGAGGATGGGCCTAACAGTGTGTTCAGGTGTGTGTGGGTGATGGGGCCGGAGAACAAAAATCAAAGCAAATGAGAGTGAGTCTCAAATCCTGTGAGACCAGCACTGCTCCGTGTATTTATTCCTATTGACGGAGGTTGTTCATGCTACCGGCCCTAATGCAGCCAACATCACCCATCAGTCAGCATGTGACTTCTCCAAGATTCCCTTTACCACCCACTGTTGACCTTGGTGCTCAATTTCAGATGCTCTCTCTGTGTCTGTAGGTTCAACGAGGGGCTTGGCCTGCACCTGCAGACGAGACTCCTGCCGTCCTGGAGAACAGCGAAGAGGGACTTGCAGTGCTCCTGGAGTACGCTACCCATACTGCTGCCACTGAGCTTGCGGAAGAGAGAAAAACGAGCTCATAATTTGCCTTCAGAGCTCCAGGGAATTGCTGTTACTCCTATACCTGGTCCTCAGTTTCCTTTCCTCATCCCAAATAAATGCCTTCTGATAAGACTTCTGTGTTTACACCTCTTTAATGTGTGATATGTTTCTGTGTCAACACATTTGGGATACATGTACCAGAAATCTAAATAAAATTTTTGAACAAACTAAAATTCAAATTTTTAGGAATTTCAAGCAGGAATTTGAGCTTCAAACCTCAGTTGAAATGAAGGTCCAGTGTCACCACCGATCTCCCCATCCACTGCTCTGCCTTTTCACTCTGACTCATTTTCATCGGATCCATTGTGTGCTGGGCAAACACTCAGGGTCAGCTTAAAGTTTATGCAGTCACAGAATTGTTACTTCTCCAGGAAAACCAGCATCGTCTGTGCTAAAGAATTGGAGTTTTATTGAACGTGTCCAGGTCACACATTTGCCTTTTAAGACATAGGGTTACAGGATATCCACTGAAACAACTTTAATTAAGAGGGAAATGGGTTGTTAGCAAAGGCGGGATGCATGGAACAGAAAGCACAGCAGCCCACACCAGGATGTCCTTATTTAGAGCACCCTCCAGACACGTCTACTAAGACCTGGATTTCACTCCCATAAAGTTGTCTTCACACCCAGAAAACCCACACGCACAAATGCTCCACTGCACTTTGCAACGTGCACTCTCTTGGGTTGCCTTAAAGTCGCTGAGAACCTGATTCTACTTGGAAAATACAGCTTCGGAGGGGAAAAGAGAAGAGAGGAAATAAATTTCATCAGGACCTTGGTGGCCCTGCTGTTGCTGCAGGGCACTGAGGCTCTGATACCCAAAACATTCAGCACATCAGTGAGTGAGCAAGAAACCAGGTCTGGAGAAAGGGAATGAACCAGCGGCGCCCTCTGAGATGCTCAGAGCATTTGCCGGGAAGGCCACAGCGCCCCCTGCTGTCCTGCCTCCTACTGCAGCCTCCCCACCAGGCACAGCACATCTGGGGTTTGTACCTTCCTGAGCCTATCTTCCTCCTCCCCTCCAAGAGGACAGGTTACTGCCTAACCCTGGTGTCCCTGAGAGCCAGGCTGACATCTTGCTGTGACATGACCTTTCCTCCTGTCTGTTCTCCCTTTCCCTCCCCTGATTCCCACTGACCCTTGAACCCTTGTCCAATATGTCCTACAAATGGCCTTTCAGGACATGACCACTTTCAGTAATCCAGCGTGAGCCCCTCGTATTTTCTCTGGATCTGGTAGTTGTAGTTGGTGAATTTAAAACACATGTTTGAAAAAGAAACTATATTCAAGCCATGGCTACTCGTAGCGGGTGGGTCACTGGTAAAATGACGCAAGGAGTTTGAGTGGGACAGAGAGGTTACAGGCTTCAATAAAGGAACGTGTCTCTAGTGGGTTGTTCACCATTCCAGACTAAGACATCTCATGGCCCAGACACTGCTGTGACCACCAACATCAACCACAAATGCCCAGAGCCCAGGAGAAGGGAGCAGGTGTTCCCCACGTCCACCCCATGCAGATTCTGAGCATGTTCAGCCCCACATTGAGGCTCTGCCTGTCTGAAGAGGCAGCTCAGGGGTCCACACACCCCACTGAGATGCTGCACAGCTAGAGAATCCAATATAGATCCGAGGGAGGATACAGTGGGTCTGACAGAGAAATGGTCCCGGCTTTTCCCCTTGTTTAGACAGTGACAGTGATGGACCCAATAGGATTCAGAGTGTGAAGACTGTGCACCCTTCTTTGGTTTCTGGTTCACTATCACTGATTCAAAGTCCTCCGGTCATGAACTAACTCTGTCATGTGGGTCTAAACTGTCACGTGGGCCAGGCTGACTCCATCTCAGGGCATCTGCACTTCACCAAGAATTCCACCTGGCTTGCTCCCTAGCTCCGGGGTCTCAGCTAAAACTTCACTTTGTCACTGTGTTCTTCCTCAATTTGTCACTTTTGAATTGCAACAAGTTCCCCCTGGTGACCTCCATCCCTCTGGTTCTTTCTATGGCTAACTTCAGAATTATAACCATCGCACCTTCTATACACTTCACTGACTCTTTGTAACATCTGTCTTCTTATGCTAGAAGGGAAACTGCATGTTAGGCTCATCGTATTACAGTGCATAGATGAGTGCCTGACACATCACAGGGGATCACTAAATTCATCATGAGTGAATTAATTAACCATCTCTAACATCACATATTATTATAAAATCACATTGTTATTACACAACTGTCTAGAATAAACCTGAAAACTACAGAGTTAAGACAGTCCTTGTTTCTAGTTTCTGTCATAGCATACCTTTAAGAAACAAATGAAAAACATTAAAGGCAGAAATACAGAAAAACATCTTGGGCAAAATGTGGCTTCATGAAGCATTAGGACTTCAGAAGAAAAAAGAGATTATTTTGGCTTGCAGTGGCAATAAAAAATTGTATGGTTAAGCATAAAGATATTTAAAACATGGAGACACTTAACAAAGGAGTAGAGCAGCATGTTCAACGGAGAGAATAGCATCAGGGCAAGAGATAGGCAGGAGGAGGTCAGTCTCCACTGAAATGAGAGAAATTGCTGTTGCAACAGAGAAGGATGGAGTAGAATTCGGGCCTCTGTGCTTAGAAGCCTGCAACAATCCAAGGGAAAGAGCCAGACGAGGACGGAGCGTCCCTGCTCCTCTGTGTGGATAAAGGCACACTGGGAGCACCACATGTGGCGTCTGCTGCTGCGGTCTAGGGTGGGCGATGACTGCTGCAAACTCTGGGACAGAGAATTGAGGGAGAGGTGTGAGGGTCTCCAAACAGGGCAACTCGCTCAGCCTTGGATGAGATCCAGAACTGTTCCCCAGGATGCAGGCACAGTCTAGGTTCACTGATGATGTACAAGAGATTTTCTACCTTGAGCCACTCACACGGTAGGACAATAAAAGAGTAAGTCAGATGCCTCATCCCTATAAATGTAATTATGCAAGGGTATAGCAGCCACGTCTCTGTAGGAGGATAAAAGCCTAACTCCAATAAGCACAAATTAGCCAACACAGATGGCCCAATCCCACCGGGCAACTTCCCTCCTAACGACCTCCAGAACTATCCCGCTAGCTCCCCGCAGGGGCTGAAATTCTCCTGCCTCTGGCTTTAGGAGGGTGTAGGGCAACCGTTTTCCCTATTGCAACATTTTGACTTCTATTGCAACGGTCTTCAATAAATGCTTCCTTGCATTTCTGAAACATCCGCGTGAAATTTTATTTTACAATAAAAGACATAGGCTATTTTTTCTGTTTCTCGTTTGATTTTTCTGAACTCTGCTTACAAGAAAAAGCAGAATGTTACGGATGGAAAAAGGATTTGTTCCCTTTTCTGAATATGTGTATTTTTTTCTTTGCTGCTGAAAGCCAAATAGCTCATTAAGAATCCTGGAAAAAGAGTTCACTCTGGTGTTACCTGACAGGTCACCCTCCCAATCTCTCACTACTTTTACCTTTGAATAACAGCGACCCTCAGCAATCTTTGTTCCAACAATCTTTGTTTCACCCACTAGACACCCACTAATTCTGCCAGGGCCTGGAATTCCTCTAGCTCTGAACATCAACCAAGAAGCTCCCCATCCCTGATCTCATTCGCTGTCCTTCCAGCCTCTCATGTAGCCGTCCCTCCCTCACTGCTGATCAGCCTCGATAAGGCTGTTCTCCACTGGGCACAATGGCTCATGCCTGTAATCCCAGCACTTTGGGAGGCCAAGGTGGGTGGATCACCTGAGCTCAGCAGTTCAAGACCAGCCTGGCCAACATGGTGAAACCCTGTCTCTACTAAAAATTCAAAAATTAGCCTGGCGTGGTGGCAGGAGCCTGTAATCCCAGCTACTTGGGAGGCTGAGTCATGAGAATGGCTTGAACCTAGGAGACAGAGGTTGCAGTAAGCCGAGATCACACCTTTGCACTTTAGCCTGGGCGACAGAGCAAGATTCCGTCAAAAAAAAAAAAAAGGCTGTTCTCCCACGGGGCTGTGCATCAAATATTTTACCTGGGAGCCTGATGCCCAGGCTGCACCCGGCACACTGGTCCTCTGCTCTCATCTCCTGTCCTTGTGCACTGCACTGTGTTTGCATCAGGTTCTCTGAGTTTGGTAGTTTGGATGTTTTTCAGTCATCTTAGTTGGGTCTTGAATTCAAATGTCAGAAACCACAATGAGCTAAGTTAACATTTTGACTCCCCTATCTTGAAATATTCCACAGATTACCTCAAGGCCTCTAGTCAACAGCACAGCCATTGTGGAGAAGACACCAGCCCTTGAGCCAGGTGGACAGAGACCCAAGGTAGCCACCGAAACAAGACACACAGACCTCACACCCAGCTTAACTCCTGCATACCTCCCATCTGAAGTCCCCCTTTTTAAACTCTTGCCTTCTCCCCAAAACCTTGAAATGGTTGCTTTGATATGAATCCAGCCATTTCCCCCTTACTGGTTTTGGTTAATAAAGTTGCTCTCTTTCTACCACACCTCCGTCCAGTTATCACTGCTGCAAGTGGCGAGCCGCGGGACCTGTGTTTAGTGACATGTCCTCACAAGGTGGAAGGAATGACGAGGTGCTCTGGGGTTGCTTCTACAAGGGCATGAATCCCATTCAGGAGGCCCGTGCCCTCCTGACCTGATCACTGGATAAAGCCCACACCTCTTGATGCTATCACCTTGGGGTTTAAGATGTAAACATACGGATTTCAGAGGGACGAAAATTTTCAGGCCACAGCACCATCCCATACTGAAGAAGTGAAAGATATCAGTTAATTAGTATCTGATCCCAGAAAAGAACATAGCACTAAGTCAGGATTATTTTACTTGTCAAAATATCACCCAGACTAGATTCAAGAGGAGAGGAGATAAACCTTCCTTTCTTTGGGAAGAGCCACGGATGTAGGATGTAGGGGCCGTATTTTTAAAGCTGCTCAATGGACTTATTCTCTCATAGTGTATTGTAAAATGCAACAACACCAGACACACAGACAGCCTGAGAGGAGCTGGGAAAGACATTCAAAGGGCAGGGACTCGGACCTCCTGCCTGTGGCAGCTGGATCTGCAGGTCCAGGAGTTGCTGTGTGGCACAGGCAGCACCGGGACCCTCCCTGCAGGACAGTGGACAAAGGACTGAGGGGAGGGACAGGGCAGCGCACTCTGAAGAGCTGGGAGGTGGCCAGTCCTCAGAGCTCACTCCCACGCAGCCCCCGCCCTGCCCCATGCTAACGTGCACCCTGTGTTCCACGACTGCCCTTCCCTACCAGGTCAAAACCACGTACCAGAACCCTGACCAAGGTCCACACATCCTGTGTCTGCTGGGGCCCCTGGACACCCTCAGCATGTGTGGGAATATACTTGCTGCTCCTGGAGGCCTCTCTTCTCTCACACCCACACCTGCACCCCCACCCACAGCTTCCCCAGAACATGGTGTCAAGGTTCTGATGGTGTTCAGGTTGATGGTGTCAAGGCTCTTATTAAGTGTCCAGACTTGCTTAAATATTCCCTGGAAATTCAAGAGCATGTGGATGAGAGAAGAGTTTCAGCCACGTCTACTCTGCCTGGGAGTCAACACTGGTGAAAAGAATGGGAAACTCAGGCTGGGGAGATCATGTATGGACACAGAAGTAAAAGTGTTGAAAAGATTTTTAGACAAAACACTGTTTTTTTGCTTAAACCCAGAGTTCTGTCAAGGTTCTGATGCAGCCCAGAAAGAAAAGTGAAAGAGACCACAGGAGATGAGTCCCTCTCTTCTAATTTGGGTTGGAGTTTGAGAGTCACGTGGGCGAGGAGGAGGTAAAGCACAGGTGCAAACTCAGCACAGACTGAGAACCTGATGGGCCCTGGGCTGCCAAGTCCGCCCCTGCCGTGGAGTAGCGCCCCCCAACCAGCAGTTACCACCCCTGCAGTCGTGCATGGGAGGGAATGACCTCAGGACACTGGGCTGGGGATGGAAAAGGCAGAACCAGCAGCCACCACTGACTCTGGCCACCTGCAGCGCATCTGTTCTCTTTGACCTCCTGAAACCACTCCGGGTGCTGCTGGTGAGGCCGCCACGTGGGCCAGGCCACACTCCTGCTGCAGGACTGCTGCACCTGCTCCCCCTTTTCCTGGACCCATCCAGGTTTCTATAGGACTCCCCCAGCCCCTCCTGGCCTCTGTTCTGATGCTCTCCCCACAACGAGGCTGCCATGGTGACACTACTGAGCAGCACTCTGCCCCCAACACCACGTCACCTGGGCACTCCAGGTCCCCTCAATGTTATCCTTTTACTCTGTGTAATAACCACTGGCTGCATAGTGTATCATATCCATCATAACTTTGCTTATTGTTTGTCTTCTCCACTAAAATATAAGACGGAACCAGTGCTTGCCACTCTCTGGTGCTGGAATACAAGTAGAGCAGCCACCAGATTGTCCTCCAGGACCATCAAGGTCCTGATCCCAGATACGGTCCAGTTAACAGAGGGCATGCAAAGGCCCAGGGCACAACATTTTGCAGCAGGAGACTTGGTCAATGCATTCTGCTCATTCCCATCACAGAGGGGTCGTAGTCTGTGTTAGCTTTGACTTTGGAAGGGACCCAGTACACATATACCAAATTGCACTCAGGCTGTCTCAGTAAGCCAGTTACTGCCCGTAACTCGTGCCCCCAGGACTCCCTGTGATTTAGCGTGAACCCCTGTACCCTGTGGCACTACATTGATAGCCTTTTGCTCAGAAGCCCCTAGAAGAAGGAAGTGAAAACCACGCTGGTTGTTTTAGTGGCTTCCTCCAAGACCATGGCTGGGCCACAACCCACACAAAGTTCAGGCCCAGCGCTGCTGTAAAGATTCTGGAAATCACCTGGTTCTCAGTGGGCCACCAAATTCCCCTTGCAGTTAAAACCCAAGTCTTCACCATTAGGGTGCCAGCCACTTTGTGGCAGGCCCTGCACATACTGGGACATTCTGCCTGCACCTACACCCCACTTGTCCGTTCTGCTGAGGCCCACAGATGCCATCATGCAGAAGCCCTCCACGTCTTACTGGGGCCACAGCAGGATACAGCATGCAGCTGGCTCAGCAAGTGGTCTCCCAGGCCGTGCCCAGGTCCCGGGTTCTGAGTTTCACATAGAGGCCCTCAGTACCACCAACCGCGACTCCCAGAGCCTCTGGACAAAGCACACCCATCCTGGCTATGGGCTTCTGCAGGCGTAAACTTCCTGGCAGCTGCAGCTCAATATCCCCAGTTAAAAAGGTGGCTACCACTACACACAACGCCCGTATAGAAACAGGCACTACGGGACAGGTTCTGGTGCTGCTGTGTCCCCAGACTCCAGTCATGCCCCACGTCTGATTCCTCCTGACAGTGGCTACTCATGTCTCCCTGGGAAAATGGGAACAGCACCCGCAGGACAGGCCAAACCTGGCACCTGGGTCCTTTCAAGTGACAGAAAGCTGAGGCCATGGTTTCCCTAACTCAGCTCCCGCCTACAAGCAGAGAGAAATAGCAGCAGCGACTCTATTGCCCGAACAATTGGTGACCTGATGAGGCCATGGGAAGAGTTGGACATGGCGAGTCCACATACCTCAGGGAAGGCAGTGCTGCCCTGCAGGCTGGGAGCCGGCTGACCAGCAACCACCTCCCACATTTATCACAGCAGGGCCTACATAGGAGGGGAGGGTGTGCTGAGCCCAGTCATAGAGCTGGCGGTGCCAGTTGCAGGGGAGGTTGCTGTGGCCATAACCCCACCAAGGGTCATGTTTTTACAGATTCCTGGGCTGTGCCCAATGTATTGTGAGTGCCCTGGAGCCAATGCCTCTGGAATGGCCTCTGTAGCGTGCACCTGTTTGGGTCAAATTAGGGGAGGCTCCAGTCCTCCTACAGGCGATTCATGCCTCATGCATTCAGAACCAACATGCCCAGGCTATTTTTCACGACTCAAAGGGTGAGTCATCCACAGTGAGACTACTGCTATCTTTGGCCTCCACACTGAGCCTGCTGACAGCCCCTAATGTCCTGTCCCAGGAGGTTAGGGGTCAGATGCACCTCTCAGGGCCTGGGTGAGATCCTCTTTTTTTTACAAGCTACCGGCCCCTATGCAGCCAACATCACCTGTCAGCCAGCATGTGACTTCTCCAAGATTCCCTTTACCACCCACTGTTGACCTTGGTGCTCAATTTCTCCTGCTTTCTCTGTGTTCCCAGGCTCAACAAGGGGCTTGGTCTGTTCTTGCAGATTAGTATTCTGCCAGTGAACAGAACTTCGTGTTGGGAACTGCGTCATCGGTGGTATCAGCTTCACATACTGCTGCTCGCTTGTAGATTAACGTTCTACTGTCCAAGAGAATGTCATGGGGGGAAAGTCATCATTGGTGGTGTGAGCTTCACATGCTTCTGCAGCTGAGCTTGCAGAACAGAGAAAAATAAGCTCATAATTTGCTTTGAGAGCTACAGGAAATGGTTGTTTCTCCTATACTTTGTCCTTAACATCTTTCTCGATCCTAAATAAATATCTTGTAACAAGATTTCTTTGTTTACACCCTCTTTAAAGTTTGAAATGTGTGTGTGTCAAGACACTAGAAAGCAACTGCCAGGATCCTACATTAAGATTTTGAACAAATTAAAGTTCCAAAATCTAGAATTTTTAAGGAGCCATGGCTTCAGACACAAATTGAAACGAAGGCACAAATGATGCTGCTGATCTCACCATCCACTGCTCTGTCTTTCTACTCTGCCTCATTTTGAATGGATTCACTCTCAAAGACAAGTCTTATATGCTAGGCAAAAGAAACAATGTCAGCTTCCAGTTTAGCTACTCACAACCTCACTATTTCTCGGGAAAAACCACCATCCTCTGTGTCAAAATATTGGAGTTTTATTGAACGTGTCCAGGTCACACATTTGCCTTTTAAGACATAGGGTTACAGGAGATCCACTGAAACAACTTTAATTAAGAGGGAAATGAGTTGTTGGCAAAGGCAGGATGCATGGAACAGAAAGCACAGCAGCCCACACCGGGGTGTCCTTATTTAGAGCACCCTCCAGCCACGTCTACTAAGACCTGGATTTCACTCCCATAAAGTCGTCTTCACACCCAGAAAACCCACACGCACAAATGTTCCACTGCACTTTGCAACGTGCACTCTCTTCGGTTGCCTGAAAGCTGCTGAGAACCTGATTCTTCTTGGAAAATACAGCTTCAAAGGGACAATGGGAAAAATGAAGAAAGGAAAAACATTTCATCAGAAACCTTCCGTTCCTGTTGTTGCCGCAGGGCGCTGAGGCTCTGATAACCAAAACATCCTGCACATCAGTGACAGAGCAAGAAACCAGGTCTGGGGAAAGGGAATGAACCAGGGGCGCCCTCTGAGATGCTCAGAGCATTTGCCGGGAAGGCCACAGCGCCCCCTGCTGTCCTGCCTCCAACTGCAGCCTCCCCACCAGGCCCAGCACATGTGGGGTCTGTACCTTCCTGAGCCTGTCTTCCTCCTCCCCTCCAAGAGGACAGGGTACCTGCCTAACCCTGAGAGCCAGGGTGTCCCTGAGAGCCAGGCTGACATCTTGCTGGGGTGTGATGTGACCCTTCCTCCTGTCTCTCCTCTCTGTCCCTCCCTGAGAAACCCATTGTAGCTTTAACAATAGTTGAGGATGTCTTGCCAACGGCCTGTGAGGACATGACCACAAAGCCCCAGGGACAAGTCCAGCTTGAGCCACAGATTTCTTATATTTTGGATCTAGCAGTTCCAGTTTATGAATTTACTACACATGCTGGAAAAAATAACTTGTCTGTTCAAGCCATGGCTCCTCTTATCTGGAGGGTCATTCATAGAATGTCCCCAAGACTTCCAAAAGTGACAGAGAAACTACAGTTTGCAAAGAAAGGGACAGTGGTTCTAGTAGGATTATTCCCCATTCTTGACCAAAACAATCTGATGGGCCAAGACACAGCTGTGACCACCAACACCAACCTCCCACAATGCCCAGAGCCCAGGAGAAGGAAGCAGATGTTCTCCACGTCTACCCCATGCAGATTCTGAGCAGGTCTCAGTACCAGACTTAGGCTCTGCTTGTCTGAAGAGGCAGCTCAGGGGTCCAGGCACCCCACTGAGACACTGCACAGCTGGGAAACCCAATACAGGTCCCAGGGAGGACATGGTGGGTCTGTGATTGACAAAGAAAAGGTCCAAAGTCTTCCCCTTGTATCAAAGGTGAAGGTGACATTTTGGGTTTCAGGATGTGAAAGGCAGACAGTCTTCCTTGGATTCCTGTAACTGCCACTGACTTGAAGTCATGCGGTTCTTGCTGTAACTCTGCATATTCCTGCTAACAGTCCACTGAGTCGGGCTGACTCCATCACACGGTTTCTGTACTTCACCCAAAAGTCCACCTGGCTTGCGCCCTAGATCCTGGGGTCTCTGCTAGAACTTCCCTTCATCACTAAGGGCTTTGCTGATTTCTTAATTTTAAATTGCAACTAGTTCCCCTAACGACCTCTATCCCCCTCTTCTCTTTATTTTTAACTGTAGAATTGTAAGCTATCTCACATTCTGTGCATTTCATTTACTCTCTGGAACATTGATCTCCCAACACTGGGAGGGAAGCCGCATGTTTTCCTCATCATCTTGCCACAGCGCATAGATGACCACCTCATACATTGCACATGATCAGTAAATTAATTTCAAATACATTAATTAATTGTACTCAAAATTTATATTGACACAAATGTGCATTGTTGTTCCTAAACAGCTTACCAAAAAAAATACTGAAGCCTACAGAGGTAAAGCAGCCTGTGTGTCTAGTCCATGTGACAGCATTCGTTAAAAAAGCTAATTAAAACTAACTAAAAAGATTAAAATATAGGAGACTATGATGGGTAAAATGTGGTTTAATGAAGCATTAGGACTTTTGGAAGAAGGAAAAGACCATTCTGTCTTGGAATGCCAAGGATAGATTTCATGGTGAATCTTAAACTGAAACATAAAGATATTCAAAATTTCAATAGATTAAAAGAATGATTAGAGCAGAAATTTAGGTAGAGAACATAGAATCAGAGCAAGAGCTATGCAGGAGGAGGTCAACCTCCATTGAATTAAGAGGAATTGCTATTGGCAACAGAGAAGGTTGGAGGAGATTTCAGGCTGATGTGCTAAGAAGCATCCATCAATCCAACGGAAAGGGCCAGACGAGGACGGAGCCTCCCTGCTCCTCTGCTCCTCTGTTGGATAAAGGCACACTGGGAGCACCACATGTGGCTTCTGCTCCTGCAGTCTAGGGTGGGCGATGACGGCTGCAAACTCTGGGACAGAGAATTCAGGAGAGGTGTGAGGGTCTCAAACAACCAGGGCAACTTGCTCGGCCTCAAGTGAGACCCAAAAACGTTCATTCGGATACACTCTATGTTTACTGATGACGTACAAGACATTATCTACCTTAAATCACTTGAGTGGTAGAACAGTAAAGAGTAAGTCAGATGCCTCATCCCTATAAATGTAATTACCCATGGGGATAGCAGCCTTGTCTCTGTGGGAGAATAGGGGCCTATCTCCTAATAAATTAGCAAACACAGATGGCCCAATCACACTGCTCAACTTCCCCACCAACCACCACCAGAACCTTTCCACTAGCTTAACCCAGGGCCTACATATTCCTGCCTTGGGCTTCAGGACAGTTGAGTTCAACGGCTCACCCTATTGCAACGTTTTGACTCCTATTTCAACAATCTTCAATAAATACTTCCTTGACATTTCTTAAAAGTCTTGTGAATTTTTCTTTAACGCAAGGCATTGGTATTTTTTTCTTTTCTGTTTCTCTGTTTGAGACCCTGAACTCTTCTTACAGGCAGGACCAGAATGGACGAAATCAGATAACTACTTGTTCTCTTTTCTAAACCTGTGCAGTTTTCCCCTTTGCAGCTCAAAGCCACTCAACTCACTAAGAAACTTAAGATTATGGAAACGGTCTTTCACTCTAATGTTACCTGGCCGGTCACCCTCCCGGCCTCTCAGTGCTTTGTCCTCCTGGATAACAGTGACTCTCCATCCTCTTTGTCCCAGTCCTCCACCCCATGGCCACCCACTGACTCCTGCCACCACCTGGAATTCCTCCATTTCTGAACATCAACTATGAAGGTCCCCATCCCTGACTCACCCACTGTCCTTCCAGCCTCTCTCGTAGCCGTCCCTCCTTCCCTGCTGATCAACATCAACAAGGCTCTTCTCCCCCGGGGCTGTGCATGGGAATCGCCAGGGAGCCTGAGGCCCGAGCTGTCCCCGGTATACCTTCACGTGCTCTCATCTCCTGTCCTTGTGCACTGCACCGTCTTTGCCTCAGGTTCTCCGAGTTTGGTATTTTTTACCTTTTTCAGGCATGTTAGTGGGGTCTTGGAGTAAAACGTCAGAAGTCATGTCAAGCTGAGTCATCTTTTTTTTTTTAAGAGGCAGGGGTCTTGCTATGTGGCCCAAGTTAGTCTCAAACTCCTGGCCTTAAGCAATTCTTCCTCCTCAGTCTCCCAGACTGTTAGGATTACAAGCTGAGCTACCTTGCCCAGCCCTGAGTCAACATTTTCACTCCCATACTTAGGAATTCTGGCTTTAGGAAATGTTTGGTCCAAGGACTCAAAACATGAATTACGTTGTTGTCTTCACCTTTTTTCCTCTTTGTTTCTCTTGATCTTACTTTGGGATCTCTCCCCAGGTGACAGCCATGTGAATCGTGGTCATCTCTCTATGACCTTTGTAGCTAATCTCCTGGAGAATATCCCTACTTCTTTCCCTGTTGTTTCAGCCAACTCCCAAGTCCCATGGCCACCTCTGAGTCTGTCACTGCGGGGAGAGGTTGAGACTCCACCTGGCTCCCACACCACCTGTGCTCCCAGCAGGAAGAATTTAAACTAAGAATGGGTGAGGGGGTTCTTCGGTCACTCCAAAGAGTCCGCAATTCCGTGCTGCCATTATGATGGGCTCTTTGTGACACTTTGAGAATAAGGTGAGAGGATTCAGTCCTACTTCACCAATATTTTAGAGAAGCGGAAGTTTACACATACAAAAATACACAAGTCCAGCTTCTCACCGAGACTGTGAAAATGCCCTCTGTTCATCTACCGCTGTGTGAAAAGACGCCCCAAACATAGTGGATTGAAACAGCACGATCAGGTCTTCATTCATACATTGGCAACTGGGGCCCGGCTCCTTCCACGGGCATCAGAGGAGAGGTTCTGCTGGGATCTGAAGACCTCAGGGCTGAGGCACTCGCGCACAGATGCAGGCAGTGCTGGCTCAACTGGGAGCTCTCACAGGGCTGAGGGATGGGAACTTGTGATGTGCTGGGGCCAGATCACGCCAGCTCATGAGAGAAGTGGTTTGTGTGACATTTTTAGAACTGTCCATAGCTGGGAGGATTCTAACCACAGAAATTTACAAACACTGTAAATCAGGGTTTTGGTTTTTCCCAGAAAGCTGGTTGTGCTGCGTTCTCTAGCTCACCCTTGCAAGTGCATTCAGCTCATCTTCCTGTGCGACGCTGAGGCTTCCTCAAAGCACGGCGTCTGGGTCCCCAAGTGACCAGCCCTCTTAGTCCATCTGAGCTGCTACTTAAAAAAATACCATAAACGGAGTTGCTTATGAACAACAGATATATTTTTCAGTGTTCTAGAGTTTGAGAAGTCCAAATCAAGGTGGCAGCAGACTTGGTGTCTGGTGAGGACCAGCTTTTTCATTCATAGATGGCACCTCCTCACTGTGTCCTCACCTGATGGAAAGAATGAAGGAGCTCTCTGGGGCCTCTTCTGTAAGGGCACTAATCCTATTCATGAGGTGCCCTCCGGACCTACTCACCTCCCCAAAGGCACCACGTGTTAATGCTATCACCTGGCGGTTTAATATTTCAATATATGAATTTCAGAGGAACAAAAATATTCAGAATACAGCACCATCCAAGACTGAGGGAGTGAAAAATATCAGTTTCTTAGCACCTGGGCCCAGCAAACGGCATGGGGCTAAGCCAGGTGTATTCTGTTGGTGAAGATGTCACCCAACCTAGATCCAACAGGAAAGAAGTAAACCTCCCTTTCTGTGGGAGAAGAGTCCAAGAATTGGGACCACATTTTAAAACAGCCCAAGAGACTTATTCTTTCATAGTCATTTGTAAAAATTGCTGCAGGCAACACCACCAGACACATAGATAGCTTGTGGGAAGTGGCTGGGAAAGGCGGACAAACGGCAGGGGACTTGGAGCTCCTACCTGTCCCAGCTGGATCTG